TCATGACTTATTTGTAATTGCCTCAACTGTGGATGTATAATTGTTATCACATACACCTACACAAGTTGCATGTTAAAAAATCTGAGTAAATGCTTTGTTGTTCATTTGCAAGCTAGGTAGGTGAGCACATCAGAGAATAAAGACTATTGTCTGTGACAGATTTTCATTGTAGAAGGTTTTTGGTAGGGAGATTAGGAACATAAATACATAATGCGGTATAAATGTTAAGTGTGCACATGGTTCAAAAAATACCTCTGACTTTTATGCTTGAAGGCAAGGTAGGGGAACATAGTGACTGAATTCAGCATGCCATGAAGGGTGTGGGTGAGGATTTAGCTGGATCAGTTCATACAGCAGACTGGTGTGACCAGGATCAGCTTTTCATCTGTGTGAGATTCGTAATACAATACGGTACATAAAAAGTGCCAAAGCTAAACAAAGTAAACATTGATGAAGTCAAGAAAACTAACACAAAACATCTTCTTTAAGCAGGAACAGACCCACCAATGGAATACAAGAAGGTCTGAAAACAAAGGAGCAAGTTGAAAATAAAGAAAGATGCAGTCACAAAGGTGTAAAGGCAAAAAAGAAACTCAAAAGGATTTGATGTAGACATCAATCAAACTTGGATTAACACACTGTCTGCCTTAACACGAGCCCCGACAGAGGTGGGCGTACAGGGCAGAAGTGGGATGTTGTTTCAGTGAGACTGCCAATTTCTCAAGGAATCTCAAATCCATAATAATCTTCATTCCACAATAAACTGACCCACTTTTGAGGGAAGTGGGGAAGAGATCAGTCCGATTCTTGCCTTGCATTCCAAAGTGGCAGTGAGTCTCAAACGAAAAGTGAAGACCAATTGATCCGGGTCCGACTGAACTGTAACATCTTTCTTCTCATCTTCTCTTCCCCCATTGAACGCTGGTTGCAGCCCTGACCCATGCTACCTCACCCTAAATGTCAGGTCATGACCCCTTGGGTGTCGCATGCCCTCTGTAACCATTTCTTTTGACTTTCCCCTAACCCCTGGCTACAACTTTCGGTCAAAATCCAGTTGATTGAAATACAAAAAGTCAAATATCATCGATTATTACTTGGATATACAATTTTTGCTACATCTACACAATAACATTTGTCATGCCTGATTCAATTTTACTACTTTTACACTCTAAACATTCTCCCTTGTCTATGTGACACACATATACAAATGTAATATATAAATATTAACAACTTGCACTTACATAGATTCTTTTATGAAGGGTTAAATATATCCACATCAGACTGAGAGAGTCACATATGCGAGTGACTTGCCCACAGAAATATCCCTGTGTTTTGAATGAAATGCACACTCTCTCTCTGTAGGGCATACACTGCTCACAGAATTCAGGAGAGTAATTATGTAGCGCTCGTTGGTAAGAGCTATGGCTTGGGACCCAGGGTGTGTGTTGGGAGTTTAAGCAGCAAAACCCACAACTTGCCACTGAGCACTATCTGGCTAAGTGATCCTTGCTCTTGATGCCCCTCCAAGTCCTGCCAATGAGCCATGCTGGCTGGTCTGTCATCAACAGTGAACTCTGGAGTACTGCACACTCCCCTGGCTCAGGAAATGGATTACCAAGAACGCCACAGAGGATTGATTTGAATCCAGCATTCCATTGCCAAGCATGCACGTTGGAGCCAATTCACCTCAAAGGAGACCCCACCTACCCCCCCCCCCCTCCCCCCCCCAGGCCCCCATTCCCCCTCCTGCCACTCCTGGGTATGCATGTTTGTAGACCACAGCAGAGATGGTATCAGCAATATCCCCCTCACAGTTCCAGAGTTCACTAACATTCACTAGCCGGGTTGAAATGTGGAAAAGGGCTACTGGTGTTAGATCCTGGAGAGTTGCCAATATTTAACCACACCTGAGCCTGAGACACTGCCTTCAGAGAGAAAGAGGGCAGTGAGAAATCTATGGGAACACTGGAAGAATGAAAATTACTTGAGGGAGGAGTCTCTAAAATTGACAAAAAACAGCTTAACAACCTTGCTTGAAGAATAAGTAAAATAAAAAAAACTCCTTCTGAAAAAGCACTGCAGACATTTTCAGCTGAAGTTAAATGAAATATATTTTTTGTGCTATAACATCCCTGCAAGTTTTCTCTAAAATTGTTGAGATAGCTTTTAAAGGCATGTTGCTGGAGGGGCTACACTGCACTCTATCCTGGCCACTTGCTTGACCGTCTCCTTTGAGCTGTAGAGTTCATGGACCACAGACCTGAACTGGAACCAGTCAAAATGGTTACAGGAATATGCTGTTAAAAGGGACTTTCCAGTCAAAATGATCAGGAACACCGCATTTTAGATAGCAGTTAGCGTGTGCTTTGAGTGGAAAGGATTAACACTACTCGGTGCAAAGCTGATTAAGATTTTAAATGTAGTACTACTGGAGAAGATCAGATCCCATCTCCTGTCAGGCAAGTATTTTTAATGCACACTTCAACTAGATATTTTGGAGTGAAACGGAAATAAAGCTTTGTAAAAGCTGAATGCTCTGTGTAAAGTTTATTCATTTGTGTTTGCATCATTGGACAGGAGGTCACTGGTGCCAGAGAGCAGGAAGACAAATTGGAATACTGCAAATTCCAGCATATTTAGGTTTACACATAATAGTTGCAATTTGATGCAAGTGCTTCATCATATTTAAGTGCCTCAAAATATTTTACATGTTGAGTTACTTTGCCGTGTAATCTAAACAAATATAATAGTTAATCTATGCCATCAAGACCCCCACAAAAAAACAATAAGCTGAACTGGCCAAAAATAAACTTTCTTTTGTGAATTTGAGTGAAAGAAGAATCTTGGCCAGGACACTGGGAAAACTCCCTTTCTTCTCTGTTATGTAGTAAAGAGCTTGATACCCACACTAACTGGGATCAGTCCAATTGTAGAATATGAAACAGTATGGATATCAGGTTATCATACAAAACACAATGTACAGTACTAACAAAAAAGTCTTCAACCAATGGTTATATTGTCACTATAGTACCAGAGAATGAGTCTTTCTTTCTCTCCCCAAACAATACTCAGCTTTCTCTCTCTATTAATTCCTACATCAGTGAATACCCAACTTGAAAAAATTCCTGCCACTAGTTTAAATGTACATTTACTAATATATTCATTTTAGATTTTAATTAGTTAAAAGGTGCTTATGCTTAGAATAGCTAAATACACAATTAAAGATGTCCAGCTATTATTTTATACACTCAGCCAAGTTATGGTTGAACAGGTGTGAGGGTATCTGGCATGTGCATATGAGAACATCATCTGCAATGGTATGAGATCTTTAACGTTCACCTGAAAAGGCGATGGGCTACCTTGACTTATTGTCTTTCCAAAGGATGCCACCTCCAACAATGCAGCACTCTCTCAGCATTGCAAAGTCTAGTTGAGGAACTCAGTTCTGGTTTGGGATTCAAACCCACAACGAGTGTGAATGCCAATAATTTCAGTGGAATAGTGTACTGCATTTGACAACTATAGTAAGTGACTCCACTTGGAATGTGTATCTGCTGATGGTCACATCACTAGGCCCACAAGTCACCGGGACATGGGGAGGCGGAAAGAGTACTGCCGGTATCTTATGAAGCCATTTCTCAGTCTGTCCGTGAACTCTTTAGAAAGAGAGAAATTACAAAAAGGAGAAAGAATTGTTATTGGTCTGCATTTTTCTTTGTTTCCACCTACCTACACGTGTTGTCCACAAAATGCAATCACTACACTTCACAGTAAATCCCGTAGAGCTATGAAACATCGTCATTGATGCCAAATTATATCAAAGGATTGTTATTAATCACTCGCAATTCACTTTACAGCTCATTCTGCGAAGCGCTTTGAGATGTCTCGTCTAAGCGATAAGGCATTATATCAAGTGCGAGGATTACCATTATTATTGTTATGTTGTCATTATGTCCACTTCACAGTAACTCTTCCAGCTCTTGTAATAAATTCTGTCCCTGGAACGATTCCAGTTCTCAAGAGTGACCATCTACTAATTTTTTTTCCCTACGTTAGATCTCGTATCTTGCACCGAGCACACTTCATCGACAAAAAGCTTCACAATTATGAATGAACTCTTGACTGCTGCTGGTTCCAGCTTTTGCTGAATCCTTTAAAAGCCCCTTTTTTTTCCCCCTCTGGAGCAACTGCAGTTTCGTTGCAAAGTAACTGATTGAACCGATCCTATTCTTTTTCTGCATCCTTTCCAAACGCTGCTTGTGTGTGTGTGTGTGTGTGGTGGGTGGGTGGGTGGGGTGGGGTGGGTGTGGGGGGGATTGCCTGCACTCCCTGGAGGGGCTGCATTTTTTTTTTACACACCCCCACCCACACCCACCAGTGCAACTTGGTTCGCTTTGTGCCAATTTTCCGCGGCTTCGCTGCGAGCGTGTGCGTGCGCGCGTAAAAATAAATAAGAAGCCCTTTCGCAGCCCTCCAGTGACTTCAGTGTGTCCCGAGCGGTCAGTCACTGCTCCCCCTGCGCCGACTTCATCGCAGCTGCTCAGTCCCCCCCCCCCCCACTCGGTCTGTCCGTGTGTCCGGGCACCAGTCGAGCCACTGACCGGACCCATCGGGGAAGACGCCTCCTCCTCCCTCCCTCCCTCCCTCCCCTCTCCTCCTCGCCCCGCCTCCCTTTGTCTGGCAGCTCTGTGATTGGCCCGAGTGCGGCGGCGGCCCCGCCCCGGCGGCTGGCGAGTGGGCGGCCGGCCTGTCAGTCGGGGCGGCCGGCGGGTGATTGACGGGGCGCGGGCTCCGGGCGGGCGCTATTTGAGTGTGTGTGTTGTGTGTGTGGGGGCGCAGTGACCGTCAGAGTCCCGGACCCACAGCGCGGGGGGGAGGGGGTGTGGGGGGGAGAGAGGGAGAGGGAGAGAGAGGGAGAGAGGGAGAGAGAGACGTCCGCGGCTCCATCGGCTCACACCGCACACTCCACACCGCACACCGCACACCCCACACCGCACACTCCACACCCCACACCGCACACCATGGTCTCCCAACTCAGCCGCGCTCTCTGGATTACGTGCTGCTGCTGCATCCCTCTGCTCGCCGCCGTTCTTGCAGATCTGACTCGGGCTGCAAGAGAAGGTAAGGACCTCACCCCCCTCTTCCCCCTCTCCCCAAACCGTTCTGACACGGGACCCCCCCCCCCCCACCCCCACCCACCCCCCCCGGGCGCGATGTACTTCTTCGGAACGGGACACAAGTGGCAAACTCGCTCCCCCTTTCCCTTCCATGTCCTCTCCCCCTTCCAAAACAAAACACACACCCACACACACACACACACACACACTCTGCCTCCGATTGCAAGGAATTCAATCCAAAGACGTCCACCCCCAGGGTCCAGTGCAGTGGAGACTGTGCAGATCGTGTGCACACACACACACACACACACACACACAGAGTTGGGAGATATTCAGAGAACAACGCCAAAACACCTCGCACTTTCACGTCGTTGCGGCACATTCGGTGCCCACTTTTCCTTTGACGGAGCAAATGGCAAAAGGCAACGGAGAGCTCCGGTTGCAAATCGCCCGCAGCGCCGCCGCTGCACTTGCACACTTTTTCCCAAACGGGATTATGTATAAGTGCAGTCCCACTGCGGTGTAACCCCCCACTGCTCTGTCCGTTTCTTATTGAAATCGAAAATATATTGGCCGCGGATTGAAATTGTTGCAGTCACTGGTTATCCACCAAATCCCCCCCCCCCACTCCCCCCCCCCCCCCCCCCACACACACAGGGCGCTCGCAGTCTGCAGTCGGTACACACTCACAACATTACAGACATGTTTTATTTCAAAAAGAAAACCGAGAGTCCTGCGGCGTGGTTTGGGGTCTCGGGGTTCGATCTCACCACTGTCTGTCCATCGCCGGGACAGCAGCTCGGGGCTGTGGGGCTGTGGGGCAGCAGCTCGGGGCTGTGGGGCTGTGGGGCAGCAGCTCGGGGCTGTGGGGCTGTGGGGCAGCAGCTCGGGGCTGTGGGGCTGTGGGGCAGCAGCTCGGGGCTGTGGGGCTGTGGGGCAGCAGCTCGGGGCTGTGGGGCTGTGGGGCAGCAGCTCGGGGCTGTGGGGCTGTGGGGCAGCAGTTGTAAGTTGCCTTAAAAGTTTGGAATCGCGCGTATTACATTTCTTCTGCAACGCAAATGCCGAGAAATGCTGAGCCTCTTCACACACAGAGCAGAGAGAGCAGAGAGAGCTTCGACATGAGCGCAAAAGTTACACATAGTGCACTGTTCCTTCCCACTGGGGACAGAGGAGAGAAAAGAAAGCGCGTTATCGAGAGAGCAGGAGAGTGAGCTGCCACCTCTGGCACTGCTCAGTTCTCTTTAATTTTTTTGATGCTGCCTTTTTTTTTGCACCCAGTGACTTTTTCCACTGTTTATTTCTTAGCTCTCCCTCTCTCTCTCTCTCTCTCTTTCTGGCTCTCGTGTTGTTTTTTCTTTCAAACGATCCAACGATCTGCATTGAAAGCAAAACCAGCGCCCAGTTTTATTTCACTTTGCAAAACCAGCGCCCAGTTTTATTTCACTTTTTTTTTTGGTCATCGCACTGGGATAAGGCAGGCGCTGAGTGTGTCTGTGATATACTGTACGGTGCAGCTTCCCGTGCTTGACCGTATTTGCTAAAATAAACCTGACCTGAGATGCATTGCAAACTTCACAGTGTCAGTGATAAAACAGAGATGGGAGAGCGGCTCCTTGGATTCGGGAGAGAAAGCCTCGACTCACTCTGACTCCTGGGTGAGAAGGGAGTCCTTTCTGCAGTTCATTGCTAAAACAGGAGGGATTTGATCTTTAATGTTTTCCATGAGCCTGAACCACAACACAGCTTTCCGATGCCTGTGTGTGTGTGAGAGAGAGTGTGGGTGAGTGTGGGTGTGTGTGTGTGGGTGAGTGTGGGTGTGTGTGCACTAACTTGAAACACTGCACTCTGTAAAAATAAAACAAACCGGGCATTGCAGGTGTGTTTATTTAAAAAAAAGCAAGGCTGGGATTTTTCTTGGTTTCAACATGTATTGATCTGCAGGGTTTGCTCAGGGTGTGTGTGTGTGTGTGTTTTGCTGGTGTGTGGCTGTGGACTGTGCGCCTTACCTGTCGCTTGGAGGCGGGCTGCCGCTACTCTTCACCCACCCCGACTCCCACCTGAAGCCGGATCAGCCTGAACCAGGTCCAAATCATCCGCCAACAGCTTCTCCCCAGCACCTCCCCTCTCCCCGAGCACCACCACACCCTCCGAAAACAAAACGGCTTCGCCTCTAAGGCAGTTTCACCCAGTTATGACCTGCCAGGCGGCTCAAAGGGATCTTTAAATCTCCCATTGATTCAGACATAAACTGGACATGAGTGTAAAATCAGGCGTGTGCAGATCAGGGAGTCCCAGCCTCCAGCAAAGGGAATCCAGACGTTTAGTGACTGGCATTAGTTTGTATGGTTCCCGTAATTTGCCTTTTGTGGGGAGAGACAGAGTTTATACAGAGCCCGGACACAGCCCACAGACAGACACACAGACAGACAGACATACACACAGACAGACAGACACACAGACAGACAGAGAGCCTCTCCAGTGAGAAGCAATTTGCTGACTGGGATCTCTCAGCTCTCAGATCACTGACAATGCAGAAAGTAGCTTTCATAAAGGACAATTTCAAGTCAAGATAAGAAAACAAATTGAGTTAAATAGCAATCGGCGGCAGTCATTTAGGTTCCATATATATATATATGTATATATATATATGTGTGTGTGTATATATATAGTACAGTTAAATCACTACTCTGTATGTATATTAAAAAAAGTCTAATAAACTCTCAGGCAGTTTCAGCCATCTGTGACCAGTCAGACACCTCTCCCATTGATCCAGATATAAACTGGACATCAGTGTACATCAGGGTGTGTGAGATCGCCCTGTGCTGCCACTCTCTCCACGTTTGCACCGTATTTCGGTCTGCAAACAAGTCGCCAGGAACGTCCCGTCTCCTGAAGAAGTTGAGCGGATCTGTCGGAGAATAAAACTTCGATGCCGAGAAAGATTTTCGTTCAGACTGCTTTAATCGCCCCCAATCGCCCCCAATCGCCCGCTATGCATTTCCCAATGAAAATAAACTCCCGAGCCCGTATACAGCGAGGAGCAAACACAGATTGTTAGCTGCGATGATGGATTTGCATCGAATTGGGGAGAGGTTTTGGGGGATCAAACACCAGGAAAGACCGAGAGAGAGAGCGAGAGAGAGAGAGTGGCTCAGAGATACAGTGGTTGTCATATTACTATTTATTTTAAAATAGCAAATGACTACTTGGGACATGCAAACTGGCATTTGAGAAGAGCAATGCGAACTCCTGTCTGAAATCGCTCTGCAATCCAAAAAGCTGCGGGTTTTGCACAGTGAACGAATGCAACGCTGTGGCTTCAGTGTTTTTTCGTTGCCCCACATCGGGGCGTAAAACACTTCACTCGCTCCAGATGTTGTTTTAACGAACGCATTTTGTATCTAATAACACGCTTTTTGCAGGATCGGAACTGCACATTGCACAAAACTGGCGATTGGTTTCTTTTTGATCTCGTTTTGAAAATGTGCATCGGAAATAAAAGTGTGTCCGCATAAGTAGGTGCCTGCAGTTTCACCCACTTTCTTTTTTTTCTCTCTCTCTCTCTTCCTCTCCCCCCAAACACAGTTGTTTTGCTGGATTCCAAAGCGCAGCAGACCAATTTGGAGTGGATCTCGTCTCCTTCTGATGGGGTAAGCCTTCAGGTCTCTCCAAGCCTTTTCACATCAATGTTTCGCTAATAATGTCGATCTCCAGCCTGATTCGGGATGGAAGACGAGTGTGTGTGTGTATATGTATATATATGTACACACACATACAATATATACACACATATATATTTATATCCCTGTTGTATGGCCGATCACATTTCAATTTCAAGAGGATTTCAATGTAATCCATCACAGTTTCCCTTTGTGTCCATATTCCGGCCCCAATTAGTGAGAGGAAGATACAGAGTGTTTGAAATAATTGGAGTTAATCTAAGAGAGAGTGTTACGTTACATACACAACAGCTATACCCACATCAATGCATTATCACACGTCTGTAAGACGTGCATTGTGAGCATGCAAGACTATCTCTCGGTTCAATTTAATCAGAGTAGTGAGGATTTAGCATATAACGTTCATTTAGTTTATTACCCACTCAAGAAACGTTAAAAAAAAGTTAATATCCTTAAAGTAATCTGCTTAGTTCAGGAAATAATTGTTTCACAATTCATTACAACACGAAAAAGTCCTTACAACATTTTTGAATGAGTTTGTTTTTTTAAAAATTGGGTCTGGAATATGATGTTGTAATTGTCTGAGCTAGAACTTTTTTTTCGAGGGCTAATTAATCAAAATTTTAAAGTTTAATGCAACAAATATTCGAAAGCAATTGCATTTTTTTTTAAAAAATCAAATCCATGCATAATCTGTAACTGGCTGTAAAAATTGCAGATATACTCTTTTAAAAACAAACATGAAATAGATTCCAAATGGTGAGAGAATTTTTTTTCTTACAACTGCCTTGCTCATCTTTGAGGTAAAATGGAAAATGTTAATTTGACAAACATATGCCCCCTTTACACTGCCTTCCTGTGGGAGGTTGTGAAAGAATTCCACTAACTGGTTCAACCAAAAGCAAGCAGAAACTTGAGGCCACCAGTGATCTTATATCTACTAGAATCTGTTTCACTTCCTCCAAGGCATTTGAGGTGTTTGTAGTGTAACTATGAGCTGGATTGTGCTTGAAATTGAAAACATTGGCTTCCAAATAATTGTATAAATGGATAGATTAAAGAATGAAAGAACTGACAAAACTACACAGAATGTAGGTTGTGGGTTCGTTTAAATTCCCCATTTAAATTTCATACTTAATCCCTTAAATATGGGGTGAATTAACAATTGTGCCCATAGTATACACATTAAAATAACAAAGATAGAAAATTATAAGATTAAACATCACAGAAAATCTATGATTGTAAAGCTTTCAGCTGTCTCGTGAAGCAGCAGAATGTCTACCAACATGGGTACATGAAGCAAAGAATAGCATCCAATTTCACTTTGTCAATGGGTATGATGTTTGACTGTTAAACAATGGGAATAAAGCAGCCTTCTCCTTACTCTTTTATTAAAAATATTTTTAAAAAAATTTATTCTCACCAAAGACATGTCTTGCTTCGTGGGCATTATATGTGGCATGAGGAGACAATTGAGTCTGTTTCTAGAAAGAAAGAAAATCGCTCCGAGATTACTCTGCGAGAGGGCTCTGTGTAAATACTTGTAGTTGTTATTGAAAAGGATTGAGGAACTTGGTGAGAAGGCAGTTAGCTGAGGTGGAAGACTATCAATAAAGATTGGACTTTTTAGGCCCAGTAGTCTTTATTATCACCCCACAAATTTGAGTTAGATGTTTAAAAGGAAGATTGTTAGATACTTGAGAAATAAGAATATGAAGAAGGAGTAGGGGAATGGGATTATAACATCTTTCATGATCTAATAAAATGACAAAACAGATGTTAGGCTGAATGCTTTACATTTGTTACTATTTTATTGGTTTTATTGAGGTGAGGGATGTGGATGCAGGAGGATTGTACACTCATTATTAGCTTCAAACATTTCCATTTCAGGTATGGGATGATAATACAGAGCAAAGCTCACTTCACTCTTGCCCATCAATTTAACTTACAATCACAGATCAATTTAATTTATCAATCAATCCCCATCAATTTAACTTACAAACCTACAATTTAACTTACAATAATTTACTAGTGTAAATTAGGTGTAATTCTCCCCTGGTCAGTAAATTTACCAATTAGAGACCAGCAATTTAATTTAGTCTTAGAATTTAAGACTGTCAAGTGCTCCAAGCCACTACCCTGCATGGGCACTAAATAAATGCAAATTGTTTTTGTCATTGTTAAGATTGTTGTCTTAAAATTTAAGTTCTTGCAAAATTTTGGAAATTTCATAAAATTTGAAAACAGTTTTCTGTAGGTTTTTTTGTTGAAAAAAATGGAAACTAGCTTCTAAATAAAATATTTCACAAAATTTTGTACAATCATTAATATTAATACAATGGTGTTCAGGACTTAAGGCTAGGGAGAATTTCAGGCTTCTCATTCCTAGTCATAAGTTGGTAAATTTGCCCATTCAGTGATGCGTTTCTTCAGTGTCTGCTGAATGGATAGATATGATATTTGATCATTTTTCCTAAGAGGTCAGAGGAAAAGTGCCCATTGTAATGTACCAGACATTGTAGTAAAACAGACACCTTTTTTTCCTGCAATGTGGCTCGTGTCCCCTACATTCAGGTTTTCAGCATTGCCTCCTTTGAGAGTTCTCTAAGTCCCTGTGGTCTGGAATCTGTGGAAAGGCTTCAGTAGCTATTTGTCTGAGGTGAAAGATTATCAATGCTTTGGACATTCCACAAGTTGCCTGGCCCTTTACAGGGGGCTTTTCAAAAATGGGAATTAAAAAAGGGTGTTAACCCTGCTCTTCAGAAAGGTTTAACTTTATCTTCGATGCAGTCACATAAAAGAGATTTTTTATATTGGCAAAAGGTGACTGTATTGAGTAGCTTTGTGGTCTGAGCTTGTCTCTTTGCACTGTGGTTTGGTCAATACATACCTCCCTGGTTGTTCTGGTTCACATGGCAGCGCTTATTTAGTTAATTCATTCATTACCTCTGGCATTATTGGTGCTGTCATTGTACTGGAATTGCCTGTTTTCTTTCAATTGGAGTCTTTAACTCTTTATTTCTATCTCATTTTTTAAAAATCCTCTGAAAGGTAATAAAATACGTTATGTTGTCATCAACAAATGATGTTTAATTGACATAGAGAAGTCCTTAAAAACAGGTTATCCTCAGAAATCAGCAATATCTGGTACGAGATAGACTAAGTCCATGTGTTTGATAGAGTATTTTTGTGAGAATTTGAGTGTGTATACTTAATGTAATAATCCTTAAATTTACATATTTACAATAATCTTACATGCATTATCCTTTGATGTAGAATTTTCTAAAGTACAATTAAAGTTGGAATAATTTATTTCTTTTCCCCATTAGAAAAAACACGTTACTGCAACATCAAACATTGCATTCATCCTGTTGATTTTGCAAAGATTCATTTGACAAGTTAAAACTTTAAAATTTCCTCACTTCCTTTTCTTGTGTCTTTAATAGACTTTCTTAATGACATAATTGTGTTTAAAAATTCTGGTGATGTCTAATTTTCCTTTATTTCTTTCAAGTGTTTGTTTCCTTTAAAAATATTGCATGCATTTTGCATCAACACCCCATCAACTTATTTTGTAAACCAGTCTGATTCTGTTCACCAGACTGACTTGAAATTGACAAGTGACCTATTGTGAAGAGGGATTTTGTAAAATGACACTTTATACATTCAGATCATATCAGATCATCTGCACTAATGACACAAGTGAAATGAGCCTTCACCAGTGCCTACAAGACAATAAAATCCAGTTTATTAAAAATGTAATGACATATTCAATAAAAAGCTGCAATATGTTTACAGATCGAAGCTAACTTGGGAGAGTCAGACTGATGGAAAGAGAAATGTTGGGCAATTTTCCTTAGTCCACACACCTCTGTTTACCTAGCAGTATATAGGATCGCTTTTCCAAGGGTAATAATTCCTTCAAAAAATAATAATAAAAATAATAATAACAATAATCAATTGGTCACTTCAATTCATGACTGTTTGTGGGACACTGCTACGCGCAATATACAGTCAATTCACTTTATAGTGTATTCTGTGAAGCGCTTTCAGACATCTCGAAAAAGTGATAAGGCACTATCTCAAATGCAAGGATTATTATAATTATTATGATAGAATTGACACCAGTTGTTGACTGCAATGGGTCAATTGTGTATTTAGTTGTATTTAATATAAATTAAATTGTTGACTCAAACATTTGCGAGTATTTGTGTGGTTTTGGGCCCTGAGAAAATCAAGCTCACACAGACAGATGAAATTTAATTTTACAACCTATTTATAGCAATGTGTATCATATAGAAAGGTATAGTTATTGATCCAGAGAACAGAATCTACAGTTGCAGGAAGTTTCTTCTTTATGCGGTATTTTTTGTAACCATCAGCAGTCAGGCTTTCAGCCTCTCGGCCCTCACCATTTGGAACTCCATCCCACAATCCCTTTGTCTTGAGGTTTTGAGACAGGATGGGGTGCGGCGAACGGATTCAGGGGTGGAGTTCCAGAGGGAGAGGGCAGAAAGGCTGAAGGCCTGACCGCTGATGGAGGAGTGGGCAGGGTGAGCGACATGGAGCAGACCAGTGTCTGCTTAGTGAATGGAGCGGACAGGTTAGTAAAGTTTTACAAGGTCACTGAGATAGGGAGGAGGAAGACCATGGAGGGCTTCAAAACTAAGGACAAGGATCTTGAACTCGATCATCTGCGGGATGGGAAGCCATTGAAGCTCAGTGAGGATTTGAATGATTGGTTCATGGATCTTGGTGCAGGAGAGGACATGAGCTACAGGATTCTGAATGATCTGCAGCTTGTGGTGGGAAGAATTGGGAAGTGTAGTGAATAGGGAGTTAGCAGAGTCAAGTCACGTGTACAAACAAGTTTTCACAACCTTCGGGACCATCTTCTTTATCTCACAGAAACCGTTTTCTGGTTTTTACTCTTCACTAAACAATGACTATCTCATTTGAACAAACTTTCCCATCACCTAATTATCCTACACAGATACCACTTCTTTGTCTTACTTCTCACAAAGCACAGGGCACATGTTGCACATTCCTTTTTCTACATAAATATACGAGCCAAAGCAAGGACATTAGAAAAGACAGACCCTATTCATTTCTGGCAAGTAAATAAGCTACACAAGTACAATCATTAGCAAAACTTGTACAGCAGTACACATGTTGAGTAATTTTCCATTATAGGCACAATGCACAGCTATAAACAGCATAATTGTCACTTAACAAAATGTCATCAATCTACAGTGTTAAAGTGATTACAAATACATGTTTCATGCTGGCAAAGTTTAACAATAGCATGTAGTCCAACGATGCATCATTCTAATGTCAAAAACAACCCGACCATGATGCCTCAGTCCCCCTGAAATCTCTGAATCATTCTCCCGTTACAATTCAGCTAAACAGCTTAAGCAAAGTTAATTCTTAAAATACTGATCTACATTAAATTGAAATTCTCACCCAATCTAAACTAAAATTCTTAAGCAAATGCTTCAACATGTATGATTGAGAAAAATTCTCACTGGCTGTTCGCTAATGTTTTTAAAAATATATAAAATTTGCACAATAAAATGCACATCAATGGATAATGCAAATGAAATGCAAAAATCTCTAAACACAGCAAAGAGAGTTAATGGAAATTCAAGGTAAGCATGTACACAGGAGAAATTAAAAGACAGTAACTCATAAATTAATTTCTTCACTCCATGGCTATGAGCTACAGAAATTTATTGATATGGAGAAGTATGTAATTTGTTTATTGCAAGAGATCACAAGAAAGGTATGGATGAAGAAGGGCCTTTGGCTCATTTAATCTCATTCTTCCTTAATAATAACCTACCATTTTTCCTAATAACCCACTGTCTTCCAAGGCCCTCCTCTTTGACTGTGCCTTCGGTCTCCCTCCCACCCCTACCCTCCCTGCCCTCCACCCCTTCTGATCCCAATCCCCAGCTCGGGTCCAAGCCCCTGACTGTCCAGCGCCTTGGGACGTCCTCCCGACGTGTAAGCTGCTATACAATGCAATTGTTGTTGCAATAATAACCTGTCTTCCCTAATAATAACCCACCATCTTCTCCAATAACATCACCCTGTCTTCCCAATAACAATCCTTATTCTTCCCACAATAACACTCTTCTTCAGCAACAAATCCTAGCATCTTTCCATGGAAACAACCCCACTGACTTCCCCAATAACAATCTATCATCTTCCTTAATAAGAATCCCACTGTCTCCCCAATAACAATCCTATTATCTCCCACACTGATAACTCTATCATCTTTGCTTTACTGCCATTTGTGGCTTATATATTCTCCTCTTGACTGTGACTGGGTAAACACACTGGTAAAGATCTCTGTGAATGCATACATTTTGTACTTAACTCTCATGGCAAAACTGGTAGACAGGAAAATTCTCACAATCTCAACATGTTTAAGACAGTATTTTGTTTAAAATATAGCTAGGCTTCTTTTCTTCTGAGCTATAAGTGGGAAAATGTAATTATTACATTCTGCAGTCTTTCCAAGTAGCACTTTGAGGGAATTTAGTAAACCTGAAGCCTATTTAGTTAGATTCCTCCAGCCAGAGTTTGTTCTTCATTAATGTGGTGTAAACAGCATTCATTAAAGAAATCCCTCTCCTCTTATGAAAGGAAGATCAGAATCTTGTTGTTAAAGACTTTGGAAATTTTAAATGATGTATTTGTTTCCTCTTTTTATACATTATTCAACATCGCAGCTTCAAATATGCGTTCACCAAAATAATGCATCCTCTGCAGCACTGGGGCTGTGTCAGCAATCCTGCTTCAATTGCACACTATCTCAGGATCAAACAGTGGTCTCCTGTCCCTGCCTGACACTGAGGTGTTTGTTGTGGAGGGAATGGACATAGTTGACACTGGAGGAGGAAGCAGATGATTGCTGTGACAGACACTTGAGTTGTCCCTTGATGCCTCCTTCAAAAACATGGATAAGGTTCAGGATTGCTGAGTTAATAAAACAACTGTTTGTTCAAAAATAAATTTGTAATAAATTGGTTTATTAACATTTTGTTTTCAATAATTTGTCAATTAGCAGCGGTGAAATTGGCACAATAGTGTTTTAACCTGTTGCCAACAAATATGGCTTTAAAGGCACAGCGCCATCCCATGGGGGAGAAAGCCGAGGCACCTCAGTGCTTATAATAACCCAGGATAGCCCTCAGCTGCTACCAGTTTGCGATCAACTGAGTATAACCTTAAGGAGAGGCAGATATGCAAGTTGCTGTGATCGATTGATTTTTCATACAGACCACACATGTTTTTGCAGTTTTGAAATGGTGACCTTCAATTAAAATGTTTTACTGTTTATGAAGCCATCCGGAATAAACCTTTATGGTAAAGTTCACATTTCCAGTACATCAAACTAACCGTCCTGTGAAGTAAAAATGTATGTCTTGCAAGTTACAAATTGCCAGTGATACAATGAAGGGGGGAGGGCATTAAACTGTTGACATAACAATTCTACATACAAATTTGCTACATTTATTGAGTGGTGCCATGCATAAGTTTCTTCATTTAGTAAAACAACTCAATGCTTTGAATCCAGGTCAAGGGTTCTGGTGTCAATTTTTATTTTGTTGTTACAGTATTTGAAATACAGTCCATACGGACAAACAGAATGCCTTTTAATCTGATATTATTGACAAATAAAATTGATCACTCACTTCATGGCTGTTCGTGAGACATTGCAATGTACAAATTGACAGCCGAATTCACCTGCAAATATACAATCACTACATCCTACAGTAAAGTCCTGTGAAGTACTTTGAGGAGGTCCCGGCGATGTGATGGCACTTGATTAGATACAAGGATTATTATTGCTTTCTGTGGTAAGGTTACATCTTGCACTGTTGTCTTTCAGTGGGAAGAGATCAGTGGAGTAGACGAGAACTACATCCCCATACGCACGTACCAGGTGTGCCGAGTAATGGAACCTAATCAGAACAACTGGCTGCGGACGAACTGGATAGCACGAGGGACTGCTCAGAGGATATTTGTGGAAATGAAGTTCACCCTAAGGGATTGTAATAGCATTCCTGGAGTACTGGGGATATGCAAAGAGACATTTAACCTATATTACTTTGAGACAGACTCAGGAACTGGCAGGGGTATTAAGGAAAGTCAGTATCTCAAAATAGACACTATTGCAGCAGATGAAAGTTTTACTCAAGGGGACCTTGGGGAACGTGTAATGAAGCTCAACACTGAGGTACGTGAAATTGGGCCTTTGTTGAAAAAAGGATTCTACTTGGCTTTCCAGGATGTGGGCGCCTGCATTGCCCTGGTGTCCGTGCGTGTATACTATAAAAAATGTTGGCCCATTATCGAGAATTTGGCGGTTTTCCCGGACACAGTGACGGGATCGGAGTTTTCATCCCTGGTGGAGGTCAGAGGCACATGTGTCACTGACGCCGAGGAGGAGGCAGACAACCTTCCTAAGATGCACTGCAGTGCCGAGGGCGAGTGGCTGGTTCCCATCGGGAAGTGTATCTGCAAATCGGGGTTTCAACAGAAGGGAGATGAGTGCGAAGGTAAGTGCTCCTTTATACTGGATATGGAAATGTTAGCTGTCGGTTATTGAGATTACAAACCTGTTTAGACTCATTTTGTCTTAACATTTGAGATTGTGTAGAATTGTGGAAAATTCCTACGGGTTAATTTGGAAGCCGGCTCCTTTTAAAACTATTTGGCTTCAAAATTGAGACTGAATTGAAGACTTCTCCACAATTTAAAATGTTAAGATGAAATGTTCTTACAGGCTGAGACTAGTTGGAATTTTGTGTCTTAGATGCCTGAGTTTCTGTCAATGCACACCATGGTGCTTGTCTAGCTAGGACCATTCTACAAACTAGGGTTCCACCTTGCAGTTTTGAGAACATGTCTCTCCTTGTCTTATATTACTGATTGCATTTTGGAGCCAGTTCAACCCCAGTATGATGCTGCTAACTCTTTCCTCAAGGATAATACTAAACTACAATGTTTAGACACTACTTATTGTATCCCACATGAAAGGTGGAATAAGCAGCATTCATACACAAGACCTTCTGGTCTCTAGTTGACTCAGCCATGCTCCATCTACAACCTCTTCTTCCATTGATTCATTTTGTTCACGTTGCTTCTTAAATTTGGGGATTGTGGGACACTGCTGTGTGCAATTGGCTGCCGCGTTTTGCCCACAAATATACAGTCAATTCACTTTACAGCATATTCTGTGAAGTGCTTTGAGACGTCTAGAAGACGTGAAAAGTGCTATATCAAATGCAAGGATTATTATTATTAATATCATTCAGCCTCAGTGCTGTCATCCAAAATGTCTCAAAATGATTCATCATTTTGAACATTTCTATTCATTCACTTCCTTCACTTATTCTACTCCATAAAAAACAGTCTCAACTTTTCAAGTCTCTCTATATATCTGTAACCTGCCATCCCTGATATCATCCTAGTAAATCTCCACTGTACTCTCTAGATAATGCCCCCTTTTCTCCAAAAATAAAATTAAAAAAGATATAAAAAGATGTAAAACAGCATATATATATAATAATAAAAAGTAAAATACATGGAAAGTATACGGTAAGAGTAATGGAATGTTTCTCGAAATAGAAAGATATAGCAAATGACACACCACAGGAATCTTTACTTTAAGGCCATTAAGGCAGTGATATCATTTCTGTAATCTTGTGACAAAGCTGTACATAATAGTCTGAATGCAATGCTTTGTACAAATATAACATTACTTCAGTTCTTGTATTTATTGCCCCATATAATTAAAATCTAGATTTTCATACGTTATGGTCCTTTCTACTTGCATTCACACTTTTATGCACCACCTATACTACTTTGCTCTTCCCTGACACAAACCTGTATTGGTGTTTGGGATATATTTCCTTTTTTTGCTCTTCTTCCCAAAAGGCACAACTTTGCATTTTTTCTCATTCAATTCCATCTGCCACTTATTTACTCCATTAGTCTTCTTGTAATATGCTATACTTGACCTCACAATTTGCCATGCCCCCAATTTTGAATCATCAACAAACTTAGCCCCATGCTTCAGTCCATAATCCTTGAACATGTTTCAAATTAAGTAAGGCCTTAAAGTAGAGATTCCTGTGGTGTGTCATTTGCTATATCTTTCTATTTCGAGAAACATTCCATTGCTCTTACCATATACTTTCCATGCATTTTATTTTTTATTATTATATATATATGCTGTTTTATATCTTTTTTTATCTTTTTTAATTTTATTTTTGGAGAAAAGGGGGCATTATCTAGTTCAACTGTGCAAACGCCCTGCTTGTCAGCCTTACCAAGTCCTCCCTCCACAGGCTGCAGATAATCCAAAACTCTGCAGCCCATGTCCTCTCCTACACCAAACTCCGTGATCCCATCTCCCCCACTCTCGCCCAACTCCATTGGCTCCCTATCCTTCAGAGGATCCAGTTCAAGATCCTGGTCCTCAACTACAAAGCCCTCCATGGCCTCCCCACCCTATGTCTGCGACCTCCTAACCCCCTATCAACCTGTCCGCTCCCTCCGCTCAGCCGGCTCTGGCCTGCTCCACGTCCCCTGACCCACCCGCCCCACCATTGGCGGGAGAGCCTTCAGCCACTCTGTCCCCAACCTCTGGAAATCCATCTCCCAATCACTCCACCTCGCCCCTTCCTTAGCCTCCTTCAAGTCCCGCCTCAAAACCCTCCTCTTCGACTATGCCATCGGCCACCCTCCTTCCCCTCCCCTCCCTTTTCCCCCCTTGATTCCTGCTCAGGTCTAAAATGCAGTACACTCTCCAGTGCCTTGGGATGTTCTCCCGACGTGAACGGCGCTATACAAATGTAATCTTGTCGTTGTTGTTATCTTAAAATTAGAGCTATGGAGTGACATTAGGAAACATTTTTTCACTCAAAGGGTAGTGAAATCTGAATCTTGCCCCCAAAAGCCTGTGGTTGCTGGATCCATTCAAATTTTTGAGATTAAGATGGATAGAGATTTGTTAGGTCAGGGTATCAAGGGATATGGGGCAAGGGCAAGTAATTGGACCTGAGGTACAGATGAGCCATGATCTTATAGAATAGAGGAACAGGCTTGAGGGGCTGAATTGCCCTATATACATGCTCCACATTTCCTTTAAAATAACATATGGCTTAATCTTTGCAATAGGCCTATTGTATGACAACATTGAAATTCCTTCTAGAAATCTATAGGCACAATATCCAGTGCCGGCCAAATTACAACAACAATGAATTACATTTGAATAGTGCCTTTTCACGTTGGGACAATGTCCCAAGGCGTTAGACTGTCAGGGATTTGCACCCAAGCTGGGGTTTGGGATCAGGGCGATGGAAGGCAGGGAAGATAGGAGGGTGACCGAAAGCACGATCAAAGAGGAGTGTGTTGAGACATGCCTTAAAGGAGGCAAAGGAGGGAGCAAGGTAAAGGGATTGTGGGATGGCGTTCCAAAGGGTGGAGGCAGAGAGGCTGAAGCACCGACCGCTGATAGTGGGGCAGGCCAGCCGGGGGGACATGGAGTAAGCCGGAGCCTGCTGGGTGGAGGAAGCAGACAGGTTGATATGGGGTTAACATTTCACAGAGGTAGGAAGGACCAAGGCTGTGGAGGGCCTTGAAGGCAAGCTCGTAAGGCCTTCAATGAGGCCCCCACCTCCACTCCCCCCGAACATTCGCAATAGTCTTCATAAGACTGTATTCGATTGGTGCTGTGTTTCCAGGATTTTCTTGATTGAATATTTCTTGATGTATGCCATATATCAAGAGATATTCAATCAAGAAAATGTATTTTGTTGTCCGACCAAAATTGGCCATCACTGATCTAAACATTCCATTGTTTCCTCAAAAAATTCTATTAAATTCATCAGACACATTCTTGCCTTTAACAAATCTGTGTAGATTGTTCCTAATTGACCCTTGACTTTCTAAATGGTTCCTCATTTGATCCTTTGTTGTGGATTATGGAAGTTTTCACACAGCTGATGTGAGACTGAGTGACGTTTAGTTTTCTGGCATATCCCTAATTATTAAGCAAATATGCAATTTCTTCATTCCCATCCATACGTTTGCCATCATCAAACTCGAAGTAGTCCCGACCCTTCCTCGATGATCCTCTTACTTTTATACATTGATAAAGCCTTTGAAAATACTTTTTACATTAGCCCTCGTCATCTATTCTTAGCCCTTCTAATCTTCTGCTTTGCTTCCCTTCTGTACTTTTCGTAAACCTTTCTGGTTTTCTTTTGTATTATCAGATCTATATTCATTACAGGCTTCTTTTGTAAGTCTCTTTTTGATCTAATCTATGCAAGCCTAGCCTTCATGAACCCCAGAACAAGATGTTTAACCTAGGTTCTATCCATCTCGTAATTAAATATTTCCCACTGATGATCTGCTATTTTATCTGCCAATTTTCTCATCCAGTAATTCTGGACTTGATCCCTTTTTTCTCACTGAAATTTTCCTTTTTCTAGTTGAATACCATTAACTTATATAACAAAACCTCTTCTATTTCTCTTTACATCTCTTTATTTCTCTTTTTCCTACTTCATCTCATATTAGTTACAATTATGTTATATGACCCAAATGTTTCTTGATATTTAGATCACCTGCTCGACCTCCTACATTACCCAGAACCTAGCCTCGCCTCCACCTTTTTGGATGGTAATACATATTGGTTCGAAAAACAAGCTTAAATGTATTGTAAAAACAAACTTCCCATTTGTGATCATCATCATTTTCTTTTTCTTCGGCTATCTATGGATGATTAAAATCTGCTATTATAACACTGTTCGTACAGCACACAGTGGAGGCTCTAACCCTAATTGTCCAAACAATGGAATTGAATATAATGCTGTTGGACTGGAGGATGCCTAATGTAGGGAGAGAGTGATAAGCCAGAAAATTAATTTGGCGGTCGATATTGCACTCTAATTAAATGACAGATTCCTCATTAGTTCACAACTCTAGCTAGAAAAACTCCATCTGTACACCGCCCTTACAATATCCTTATTACTTTAATGGAATCTCTGATTAATACATTTTCTTACCAATACTTCCTGAGTAAGAGCCAGGATTCTGTTAAATGTTTTGTATTGATACACTATTTTAGTTAGTACCTCCAGATTCCAGATTGTATTTTATTTTTAATGCGTTAATAAATATTCACTTATTGATGCTTTTTCCCTAGCACCTTATGTTGATTCATTTCCTTTGGCTTTTCTACCTCTGTTAACTTTGAAGCACTGCGTTACAGTCTTGATTTACCGCTCTCTTCTGCTTTATTAGTTTACACACTTCTCCATGGTTATATAGACAGAGCAGCATCTGCAAGTAAGGGGTTGCCTAGAGGGAATAGAATTAAAACTGCGAGCATTCTCTGCAGGTTACATGAATTATTCTTGCTGTTGCTAGTGTTAGCATCTTACCTGGAAACAATCATTGTTTGATCACAACGCATCCTCTTCTAATAGTGAACGGAAACAACTTGCTGATGTGTGGATAACAAGTTCAAAGAACAACCAAGGAG